CGCCGAAATAAGTACATTCTCAACTCACTCAAAATTGTTGTAAGCGAAAAGCCAACAAATATCGAATATACTAAAAAAACAGAAAAAAAACATAAAAAATCCATTCAATTTAAACGAAATGTTACATAATTTTTATGATTTGAGATAATTTGTGAAATAATAATAATGTAATGAAATTTGAGATAAAGTTGGTTTATTGGTTCAGCACAGCAATGCTTCATATGCATAGTAATAATCATGTACAGATTTATAAATTAAATCAGTAACCTTTTTCCTTTTAATGCACTGGAAAATCTGAAACTGAGCATAAATTACTGAGCACAATTTTTGAAATGTGACCCTTTCTACCTTCTGAATAAATTTTTAAATAATTATATCAACTAATTGTAACTTTTTTTGGTGTATTTTAGGGTGAAAATGCACAATTCAGCGTAGAGCTTGTAGAAGACGAGGATGGAGAGTACCAAAACGAAACATACACTCAACCTTTCCTGATTGTACCCACTGCAGGATACAAAAGCGGGAATTTTTCCATACCAGTGAAAAACAATACAAAATTGGACTTTGAGAATGAAACCTGGCAAAATTTTTCATTTTACGTAAGTTTAAATGAATCAATAAAGGTCCCATATAGTTATATAAATAATTTCAACAGGTGCATTCTTGGGATAAGAATGAGACGAATCAAGATCTGCTTCTCGTTAAAATTCATTTAATTGACTACAATGACGAACTACCGATCTTCGGCGAAGAATATTCAGTAGACGTAAACGAGACTATTGAAAAGGGGGAGAAGTTAATACAAGTAAAAGCAACTGATAGGGATGCCGAGGATGCTATTCTTGAGTAAGTTCAATGAATTGCGAGCTTTAAGCCTTGAGTCTAAATTAGAATTTTCCGTGATTGAAGGTTGTGGTCGACTGATATTTAGGTATGAAGGGATGTATATAAAATCATATTTCCAGTGCGTAAAAATATAAAAATTACCGACGTTCTAAGGCTGAGCGGTTTCGATCTAATCGGTCATTTCCAGAACGAACAATATAAAATAAGATGAAGGTACTCAAAAAGTCGTTGGTTTGGTGCTCACATTGTTATCTTGTATGTCTATGGTCATAGTTGTAAATCCAAAAACTGACCGAAAATTTTCTAAAATAAAAACGTTATGTCTAGACTTCATTGATGACCGGGCAATGCTATAAGCAAACTGATAAACCGGTTTTTATTAATATAGAAACTTCAAATTTTTAGGCATTTTCCAGATCTTTATACCCGTAGTAGTTTTGCAATCACCTTAAAGCTAATTCAATTTTTATCGGTCTAAAAGTTTTCCGGGTTTATAAGCCGTACAGCGTTGGAAACCTCTGGAGACTTTTTGTTCACATCTGTGATAAACATTATGAGCGAACTGTTCAGTCCAAAACAATTTGCTGCTTTGAAAAAAAAATCTCCAGTCCCAGTCTGCAGCTTCTTTTGTATCCGATAATCATGGTGACCCTCCGTTTGGTTGTACCAACGGTATGATGTATGATACGGTTGCAAATCACCAAACATTGACCATTAATTTCAGAAAAAGTTATTTGTTTCAGTGTATTGGGGAAAAAATTAATTAACATTCGAATATATTCTATGCGGCTTAATATTAGTTTTAATTTATATAAAAGTTAAAAAAACACCATGTTTTGGCATTTCAGACATGAATTGGTTGGAGCTAATGCTATAATCAAATTGATGGAAATCGACCATGCAGAAGGAATAATCACAGTGGCAGTAGACGATGCATTTGATTATGATCGTATAAATCCAGTGATTTTCCAAGTTCAAGCCATAGATGCTGTTAGACACACAACTACTGTATCGGTAACTGTTAACTTACTCGACGTTAACAATAAAGCTCCAACATACAAAGTGGTGAGTACATTTTCTGTCGTCCACATTGCTCAAATTATCCAAGTCCACGTTAAATTAAAAAATGTATGCTATTGTACAGTGATTTTTTAAATTTTTTTGCATACGAAGTTGAATTACGCTGGTATTTCACTTTACTACCATAAATACCTAGCAGATTTTATAAAGACTTAATATATGTTAATTTCAGAGTGATGTTATTAGGGTGGACGAAAATCAAAAGATAGGTGATAGGCTAAATGTAACAATAACCGCGTCCGATGTCGACACTACACGCAATTTAACTGCCGAAATTGACTGGGAAAATTCATTTGCTATGAAAAACTCTCAAAAATTAACATCTACGGCTGAAAACCTAAAAGCCATGAGGTGAGTAAAGTAAATAGTTTATCTACAAATAGAAAAATGTCTTTTTCTACTTATTTTTTAGGTTTTTAGATTTAGATTATGAAATAGATCCTACTGCTAATGACACTATTGAGATCTATCTGGCAATTAACAATAATAACGACGACCAAACAGCCCCAGATTATGAAACATTCGATACTTTATATTTGAATGTTACAATTATAGATCATAACACCAAACTCCCTGAATTTGCAGACAAGATGAGCATACAAGGTAACGGTGTTTAACAGAACAAATGTTGAACTGAAAAAAATAAATTTTTACAAAAAAATCGAAAACTAAGGATTATTAAAAGAACCAACATTTTTTAGTTTTTCCAGCTTCAAGTACCTACTACATTTAAGAAAATGCCGCTTTTAATTTATGAGATATCAAAACTAACTCTAATATTTTAAATACGGACCTCAGCTTTTGTTGTTCTTTTAAAGATAAATTTTCTTTCATTTCAATGTTTAACCACATGCTCACATTTACCGACGTTTTGAACCAAAAAATAATAGCAATTTATTTCCTTTAAAAAACATTTGAGCCTTTCGAAAACAGCCATAAATTTGATTTTGTTTTAAATTGGAGTTTTGCGATTAGAAATGAGGGATAGTCTGTCCCAAGCTTTTTAGCAGTGACGCCATAATTGTGGCTTATTTTCTATTACATCAGTTTCTCATTTTCTCTCCTATTATCTTCATAATTTGACTGCCAAGTTTACTACCTCGAAAATAACTCACTTTAATGCCGAACTGAAGAAAGTGGATGATTTTTTCAGTTCTTTTGTTGAAATTTAGCAAATTTAACTTTACTTTTGCAACTTCAACTAATTCAAATTCCATGTGGTCGACGGTTCTCGAAAAAGATAATTGGTATTTTTTAGAGAAAAAACTTTCTACACCATCAAGCAATACTAATGACGAATGCTTAAGTTATCAACAATGGAACATAAAGATAATTTCCTACTACTCAAGTTCCAGCTCGAAACAATTGCCGACATGAATAAATTTCTATAAAGCGACTTTTTGAATGAAATATTTTTTTCTCGGCCAATAAAACGTTTTATTTAATAAATAAAAAGAAATGGCGCAGCAAGACCGATTGGGTCGATAGCTTTTTTCTGTAGGAAATAAAAATTATTTATATACAGCATATAAAGCAGATCCATATTTAAAAAAGGGGCGTTAGTGTCGATATCTTATAAGCAAAAAGTGCTATTTTATTAAATTTAATATCGATGCGTAGATCTTTAAAGGTTAATAAAATGTTGACAAATTTTTTTGTCCGCAACCCTCAGTTTTTCATTTATTTCGGCTATATTTGCCATTTTCAAATTAAATTTTGGATCTTTCGGATTTGGTATAAAATGAGATGAGACCCACTGATTTATAAATTTCCATCATATCATAAAGAGAAAGTGGAACTTTAGACATTTAGCTTGGAAAATAAGTTCACAAAATTGGTGTTAACGTTCCAAATTTGAAGTTTTCAGCTTTACAAAAAGTGTGTTTCCGGGACTAATTTAAACAGCTCTGATTCATATTCTTAAAAAAAGTACAGTTTATAATTTGAAAAATGTATTCTTTTTGTACAGCTTTAATTGTTGTGAATATCAACGACATCAACGACAATGAACCCATATTTACGGACGACACTATCGCGAGGAACAGAACTGTATATGAACGAGTGAAAAATGGTACCCTGGTCGGTTCAATTGAGGCAATCGATAAAGACATTGGTGATATCGTTACCTATACTTGCATGTAAGATATAGACATGTTTTTTTAATGTTAAGCAAGAATTTGAACAACAACGCCCAAAAGTTTTCCTTCTTAAAAGGAAAATTGACGTGCTCTTGCGTTTTCTATGCTTTAAAGCAACGATGAAAAAATCAGTCTGCAACTCTGAAATTTGGTGATTTTTATACAGGGTGATTCATGGTCAATGGCGTATAAGAAAATTTATACAACCAGGATTCTAATACCCTACGGGAGCTGCAATCAAGCGATAAAAAAATTCCAGTTTCTAGAACGGAAAAACCCCCTCTACTAAATTATATGCTAATAGTAAAACCAGTCATGAAGCAATTCAAAATAAATCGAAATTTAGTTTAAACTTTAATATGGTGTATATTGAAAAGGGTGACCCAAATTGAAAAATCATATTATGAAATTCATTCATTTTGCTCGAGAAATCTGCAGATAACGGATTGGATTATTTATTAGGCAACGCCCTGTATACTAATAAAATTTTTAAAGATTGCCTGGGTAGATTCATACCTTAAACTTTAAGTGTCTATATGTAACTACTTGAATCAATATTTGCTACATCACAGTTTTTCAAATAACATCGAAAGCTGAAAGTTATAAATACCTATTATTTCCTATTATTTATTATACCTATTAATATTTCGCCAAATAATCTTCCGAGATTTGTGCCTTTATCCTCAATCAAAGTATCGTAATAAGTACGTGGCAGTACAATAAGTGGCACAATTTACACCTTTCGGACAACTGAATAGTGATCCGTTAGTTAGCTATGGCTAAATCGATAGAAAGGATCGTGATGCTTTTACCAAGATGTTTAGAGTATAGTTATCCAGTTAAGTCTTTGTTAAGTTAATAAACATCTGTATTCTATTCATGTAATACAAAATTTCGTGTTATTTCAGATCTGCATACGAAAGTACTGATTGGTTAACATGCAATAGCCAAGGAGAAATAACAACTAAGACGGATCAAATTGACGCAGATACTAATAAGGTTTATAATATCACCATAAAATGTAATGCGACTGACGGTTTTTTCATCACCTCACAAGACGTAAGAAATTTGAATTAAAATCCATTGCCCCTAAATGGGTGCTTGCAAATATTCTAATATTTGAACGCACTTATGGAGAAAGTATTTTCATTGTTGAAATCTTCTCGAAAATAATACGAGGAAATGCCAAACGCTTAATTTTGTGAATGTGCAAAGTCCCTGGTGCTGAAATTGAAATAGAATATATTTTTTAATATTAGAGTAATTGTTTTGTTATCATATATGATCAATGTCCTTAATTGCAGTTCAATATTTACGTTATGGATACAAACAACCAATTTCCTCAAGTTATGGTGAACAATACTCTACCAAGTACTGCAACAGTGTCAGTTTTGGAGAAAAGCGCTGCTAACACTCCCATTGTGCCAATTGGAGCTTATGATGCCGATCGTGATAGTAAGTTTTTCATGTTTAAAAAATGAAATTATTCTTAGGTCTTACTTATATTTTTTTCTTGTTCCACATTACGTCAAGTATACTCGCGCCAAATTTCATCTAAATCAGTTGGCCTAATCTTGAGGTATTAGGTTTACGAACAAGAATTTTTTTCACGCTGTACGGCATCAGTAAAAAGCAGTAAGTAAACAGAGCATATTGAGTTTCTTCATTTAGTTACAAAAGTTTTTTAAAGTCCTACGTATAAAACTTCTATACCAATTTCACCATTTCTCAGAACCAGTGACTTCTATTAACACAATTTCTGCATCATAAAATGACCTGAATCGGAGATGCAACTTAAAACGTTTGTAGCACATTATTCGCAATGTTACCGGGTGTCCATAAGCACATGAACGAAATAGTACTGCCACACTCTCGGGTCGAAAGAATGGTTATTATGACCGCGCTGGAGTTTCAAAGACAAGTATTTTGCAAACCAAATATTAAAATAGTATTAGTACCGTCTTTTGCCAAATTTCAAAATTTTGCCTATAAAGACGACAGAGAAATTTGTGATTCAGCAACACTATAAAAATTCAAATTGGCATCGTTCAAGCCAGTAGCAAAAAAAACTATCCATTTTCGGCCATATTTCATATAACAGAAATTAATTGAATTTTACATAAGAATATAAAACTAAATTAAAATATAGGGTGTTCCATTAGAAAAAAATTAATGCACTATGTAATTGTGAATATTTTTAAAATATGAGATTTTCGTTCTTGTAAAATATGACGATAAGACTATTAATGATACCTTTAATAATACCGACTAAGGGCAAACTTACTTTACTCTATCGTTGGGACGCCCTGGACATACACAGTAAATAAAACTCCTTTTTTGAAAAATAACTGCTGACACAGTCTGCATGCGCAGGAAATTTTAAATTTCAAATATTATTTTGGAAAAATTAAGTTCAGAAGAAATACAAAATATTATATTACAAATAAATACCGTTGCAAAATTTTTGTTTCCAGTTCCGTTCCATGATGTCAAGTGCACGTTTAACCAGTCGGATTTATGCTATGAATCGTTCATAATCGTTGATAGTGAGATACTAGTTTTGGTTGGTGGAAACGATTTGAACAGAGATGAAAACCTTCCAAAATACGACTGCATGCTCACGTGCTTTGACAATCCAAACCGTGAACAGCGTAAGTAGACGCCAAAAAATAAGTTCACAAGTATAAATGATGATTCCTAATGAAACTATAAGTTTATGTTTTTGTCACACTAAAAATGTACACTTTTGGAAATCATATTTAAGTTGCAAAGAAATATCCATGGAAAAATGTCCCCTAACCGAGCGATGCCCCCTTATGGACAGACCCGTGACGAGGGTTTTATCAATTTATTCCTAAACGGTGGAACTCACATAAGTAATTTTTCCACACTTCAGAAAATTGCATGTTTCATGTAATTAAAATTAAAACTGTAAATTTTAATCAAAAACGTATCCTTTAGAAAGAGCGTTCAAAAGAATTACAGAAAATCTTCAAATAGTATTAAGACTTTGTATATACTTTCCTGACAGCCTCATCATATCACACATTTTAGACATTTTTTTACGTCTTTGAGTTGTTTAACTCGTGTTCAATTGTCTTTTATTCATTTTAAGGATTTGGAGCTAATTTTTTCTATTTTTAGAATTTGATCGTAATGTAAACTCAACCACAGCAATTACAATCAAGTTAATTGATATCAACGATCACTGCCCAGCCATGCTTCCATTGGATCTAGCAATCAGCGAAAATAGAAAAAAGGTAATGCATATTATTGTACTCATTATTTAGTTCAAAATACATTAACATTTTTGCGATGAACTTAGGATACCGTGTTGGGATAAATCCAAGCTAAGGACATAGACGAAGGTGCCAATGCCGAAATAGAAATGCATGTTCTTACAGTTTTTAAAATAAGTGAGGATGGTGAGGAAGACTACACGGCAGAAGAATTATTTGATACGCAGAAGGGCGAGGATTCCGAGTATAGAGTGAACGACACAGTCAAACAGTGGAACCTGATAGCGAAAAAAGACTTAAAGGACTACTACGGCAACTTCGTCATTCAAATGAATGTAAGTATAATTGGAGTTAGTTTCTAAATTAAGAAACGCTCTCACTTCATTAGATGTATCAAAAATATGTAAATACCACTTTTTTGTTGTTGCACAAATAAACTTCTCAACAAAATTAACGTTACACGCCTTAACTTTAGAACTGCATAAGTTTTGATTGCTGAGAGCGATCTGATTTATAAATGAAGAATTTGTTTTAGTTTGTTTGTTGAAGCAATTATTTATTTTATTTAGCGACTGTTTTTCAAAATTGAACTAACTCTATCAGATAAGCTTTTACTGGGTGGAAAATAAAACATTGCAAAATTTTCAAAAGCCCCAGTAGCACACAAATATTACAGTAATATTTCTTTGCAATATTTAATATAGGTTGAA